CAAAGAACGGCAGACGGTAGGGTGCTAGACACTCTCAGAGTCGCGAAGCTGGCGCGGGTAAACCTGGGATGACAAGGAAACACTGGACGGCGGCAGATGGCTGGACGTAAATGGTCGAACAATCGGCGGGATCGCCATAGAAACGTGACAAATGGGGGCCATGGGGGAAAAACGGTTCAAGTCAGGCATCTGTGTGTGTGTGTATCCTACCATGCAGTCTGTCTGGCAAGCGCAAAGAAAGCGAGTAAGTCGACGAGTGCTAGCGAGAAGAATGGAGAAAAATAAATACTCGGGGACGTAATGGGTGCCGGCATGTTCTGTGCGCGGTAACAGACCCAGAAATAAAATACAAGGGAGACGGCATGGCGGGGAAGACACAGCGAGCGCAGGATCCCGCGACGAGTGGGTTCAAGCTCCGCATGTTTTCAGGGAGTGGATGATGGTGGGGGCGGTCTGAGATCAGCAGGAAGATCGATCTTCTCTCGTCCCAGGTTGAACGCTGCTCGCGTGCATCCGCACGTGACCCGTGCTCTCGACGCTAGCTTGGCCGTGCTACAAGGTCCGCACTGCGTGCACCCACACCCACACAACACGAGCACGAGCGCAGGACAGACACGCTCTGCGTCCGCGCCCGCGCGCACGACGAGCACGGTAGTGCGAGAATGGTGTCGCAGAGGACTGGGCCACCACTGAGCGCGCTTGGACGGGGCGTGTACACGTGGGCGCCAGGGACGATGGCCCCAAGATCACCATTGCTCGATGGCGATGGCAGACTAGTCTAATTACACCCGCTGCAGCTCGCCCAGTCGACGGAACTCGGCATGATCCAACCATCTCGCGCTGGTGATGTGATTCTTCCCAGTCCCACTGCTATCTGTTGGCGCCTCCTTCCCAGTCTCTCGTGCATCCCACAGGAGCCTATGCCCGTCTTTCTGACGTGATTGGGATCGCAGTCTCGTTCCTTACCCTCCATCTCGCCCCATGTGAACCTCATCAGCCGCCCAACGCTCTCCGCCCAGGGCTTCCAACATCCATCCGTACGCACCCTCTTTCGCCGTCAATTACTGTCTCGCTTATCATCGTCTCCCCTGCAGCTGTGCCAGGCACCTTTGCTCGTGCGTCTGCTCTGGCCTGCACGCTCGAACAATCCTCGCGTGCTTCGTCCTAGCTTTCGTTGGCATGTGCCCCTCCCTTTCGTCATCTGCGGACTCGCGCCGCCCGCAAAGTCCTTCCTTCGCGGAACACTGGTCGACATTCCCTCGTTCCGTCCACGCAATTCATTCCCGATATCCTCATCGGTCGTTCTTTGAATCCCGGGCGATTCGAGCGACTTGATCGGCCCATCGTCTCAGCTTTGTATGCCCTCTCGTTCCTCATGATCATCTCGCACACCGCCTTGCATAATCACCACACTCACCTTGACATCTTTACAATCACGCCTCCGCCCCAGTCTCTCCGCCATCCCGGTCCTCCGGTCAGAGTCTATCTTGCCGAATACTCCAAATAGGCTTGCCTTATATCGCACCCTCGACTCCTGCGCGCGGGGTCGCATTTCATCTGTTTGCGCAGCTCTCAACAGCGCCCACTACGGTTAGCCCCGGAGTACACCTTCGATTTCCATAACTCGGTCAGATGGCATCGTCCCTGATGCTGATTCTCTCCGAATCTCAATCTCGCGATGGATATGCAGTGGCAATGCCACAACCGCACTATATAGCCCTCTCCCATATCTCGGAGCGGAGTCACAGCGTTCCACCTACCGCCACTTGACTCCGCTGCCGTCTCCGCCTCTACACTCACCGTCCGCCCTTCATGCCGCGCCTCCCTGTCCGCCAGTCGATCCCTCACATACACGAGGCTCTTCCAGGTACGTTCTCCTCCCCCTTCCTCACCACCAACAATGAGTCACCTCGTCCTGTCGTCCAAACACAGAGTACTTCCCTAGTACAGGCCGCGATTCGTCTTCGAGTGCGTCGAGTACGCCAAGTGGTGCAAGCCATGTATTGGTAACTACACCCGTTACTGGTGTATGCTATCCAACTCACACAGCCCCTGTTTTTACAGCCACCTCTCCAGACTGAGCTAGTCCCTCATATTCGCAGCGAGAACCCGAGACTCCATGGCGACTGTGAAGCCAGGGAACGTAGCCGTCCTGGCGACAGGACTATGTCCCAAGGCCATCACACCCGTCCTCGGCCCTACAACGCGCCCCTCACAAGCTCCCCCACTTCTGAAGCCCCTTTCCCGCCTGTATCCAGGACCGTTCCTCGACCCTTCCTGTCCTCTCAGCGCGACGATGACAGGCGACACCAGTGCCCCTACTGCCCGCGGCGCTTCAATAGGCCCAGTAGCCTAGCCATACACATCAACACGCACACCGGTGCCAGACGTAAGTTTCTCCCTCTCGTCGTTCTCCACGGCGTCGGGCTCACCCCGCCTCCCCCAGCGTTCGAGTGCCCGCGCTGCGGGCGGCGCTTCAGCGTCAACTCGAACATGCGTCGCCACTTCCGCAACCACGACGCGCACGGGCACCACGCGGCCCCCGTGCCCTTCGCGGGCATGCTCGCGTACACGCCCGCCGCGTCCCCCTACGCGTTCGCGTACCACCCGCGCGCCGACGCACACCCGCCGCAGCCGCCCTCCGTGTATCCGAGCGACAGCGAGACGGACGAGTTCCCCAGCTCCGCGACGGACGGCAGCGCCGAGGGCCGCACGGACCCCGCGCTCGAGAGCTCCTTTGCACGCTTCCGCCTCGGCCCGCGCGCGTCGTTCGACGCCTCGCTGTCCCCGCCGCCCCCGTCCGACGGCGCCGCGCCGGGCTTTGCGCGCGTCGGCGCCGTCGCGGGCGGACGCCACCGCTCCGTGTCG